GAAAAGATCATTCCCTTCCCCTTTTCCCGAACACCCAAGCCCCCCCCCCCCCACGGTGGTCAATGGTGTAACCGCTAACCATGAGCTCCCCCACCCCCCCCCCCGACCCCCGACAGGGAGAGCACCAACAACAACAGAGATGGCGGCCAACAACGCCGATGAGTCCCCCCTGGGCTTCGCCGGCGACATCGACGGCGGCACCTCGTCCTTCCGGCTATCGTCAGGACAACAACCCCCACCTTCGCTTGGCAACGCCGGCCACGGCGCCAGCTCGGCCTTGCCCGTTCAGATGGGTCGTCTCCCACCGCCCTCCCCGCAGGACCGGGGTCTAGTCGGCGGAGGTGTTTTGCTGGAAGGGGTCGAAGCGGGGCGGACCGTCGTGACGTGGCGGGCGCAGGAGTCGGGGCTCTGGCTGGAGGAGCGAGGGTTGGACGACGACCTGGAGGGGGGCGGGTTACACCTGCAGCTGCAAGGTGCGGGCACTCGTAGACGTGCATGCCGCATTTAGTCGTTTTGACCATTGACCTCGCGCCCCAAAACAAAGCCGGGACGCAGCAGGCCGGGGGGGCGTATGTTTTGCGGTGCTAGATGCGTATACCCTCTCCGCCTTTCGATGGTTGACCAGGGCTTTGCCCCGGGGAGCATCAGCGGGTTTGGGTCTTTTTGGTGGCTTGGGGTGGCAATGGTTTCCGTTCGGCGTAGGGAAGGGGGCGTTGTGCCGAGGGAGAACACTACTGCTACTACTGCTTTTGCCGAGGGGAGCGAGGGATTGCGGCCAGAGTCTGCGGGTGACGCCAGTCAGTACGCGTGGCGATGGTACCATGTTCGGTCGGGAGTGATGTCGGGAGATGTGTTTTCGTTTTTCGGTGGGAGTGTGCTGTCAAGAGTCCTACATCTGTCTACCGTCAGGGTGTCGGTGAGTCCGGCTGTTGGCGGGTCTAAGTTGAGTCCTATTTGCAACAGAAACAGGGGCATCGCTCTTTGGTTGAAATCTCCGTTAGACGCAACTCACATCATACCGTACGCGTACGAACCCGATGCCTCATGGATCCGTCTCTGCCGTAGGTCACATGACGTAGGATATCACACCACCCTGGACCGGTGTTCAAAGAGCCCCTCTTCTTCCTCCACCTCCTCCCTCCACACCTTGGTATCCCTCCCCTACACACTCGACGCTACATCCATGTTGTTGATTAACCTTTTTGATAAAAAAAATCTCTAAATATATCGCAACAGCCGGCGCCTCCAAACGATGAACCTTTGTGATGAAAATACACCGACAACGCACAAAGAACGGCGGTGTCTCCAACGATGATGAACTTTTCGATTAACGTTAGGCGGCGTCTCCAGCGCCGGTGCCGTGGGCGTCTTCGGAGCCGGGGACGGAGGGGGGGACCAATCGTCGCTGGCGGTGTGCGCCTACACGGACGACAGGGTGGTTCACAGGGTGCTGCTGCAGCGGCCGGCAGCCCCTCCCGGCGACAAGGTAAGAGCGAGCTCCAAAGTACCGACCGCACGGAAGAGAGAGAGAGCCCGCGCGAGACGGTTGGGGTACGTGGTAGCGTTTATTCTCTTTGATGTCGCGGGTGCCCGTGGTTTGGGTGTGTACGTTTAGGTTATTTACTGTGGTTTGTGTCCTCTCTGTGTGCATGTTTGCAGAATGAGTGTTAAGTTGGAGCGCTTGTTTTTCAGCTCGCACACCGCGCAGAAAACACACCACCAAGCGCTGACGGTGCCATACAACTCGGACTGCTCTCGCTACCACGCGACTTCACGGCCAAAGCGAAACCCAGACCCCGTGATCATGAACCCGATCAAGCCTACCGGTGTCCTTACACGCAGGAGTTGCACGCACGCCCTTGCGCCGCCCCTGTTGTATGTGTGTCTTTGCAGGCACAATCCGCGTTGAGCGCCATGTCGGCGCCGCAGGGGCGCAAGGTGGCGAAGCTTGGCTGCAGGGAAGGCGGGCTCGGCCCCAGCTGCTGGATAAATAGGTGCGGGGACGCGCTGTTTGCTGCTCTTATTTGCAGTATCCAGCCTTCAGCAGCGTATGCGCCCCCCACCTCCCCGTTTCCTAGCCAAGCAATTATATCTCGTGTTTTGGTGGACCCGCGCCCCCCCATACCTTTCACTTGTGTCGCTGCTGCGGGCGATGGAGGGTTGGTTTGTACCATTTATGGCAGCTACCAACGTTGTAGAGAATTAACGCATTGCAAACAGGTAGATAAATGTCCCGTCCTCGCCCCCCCCCTCTCTCTCCCTGTCGTTCTCGAGCGCGCCATCACCTGCGTGTCTTGGTCCTTTGGTAATTCGCCCTGTTGTGTGTGCTGTTCCTTTGTGTTTATTTAGATAGCATGGGTCGCGCTACCCGGATGCTGACCAATGAGAATACAGTGGTGGCTACGGTTTAAGAGAGGGTCGTGACAAGCCAATACCCTCTCTTATATCCGTACTGCTGTGAATGTATGTATTTCTCATGGTCGTGACAAGCCAGTTTGACGGTAATTTCTCTTAAATGGTCTCTCTTAAACCGTAGCCGCCACTGTACGTCACTCTCTGTGCGGCTGCAAACAGAACGTTCGTCTTTTTCGTGTCTGTGTTTCTTTGCTGTTAACATCGACCGCGCTATCCCGCTGCTGATGAATGAAAAGACGTCGTTCTAGCTATATATACTCAATGAACACTCTTTCTAGTCGTCTCGGCCTCCCCCTGCAGGGGGGGTTGTGCAAACTCTCTCGCTGTTGGTGTCCCCTCTCGTCCTCTCGAGTGTTGCTATCTGCGTAGGGCTATTTTGTTTGTAGCCTCGCCAATCCCGCCTCGCCTTCGCCGCGTGGTGCCTCCCCTGTGCCGGCTATCGTTTTCATTAAGAAAACATTTCATACAGTCAGTCCCGAAGAGACCACTTGAAGTATTTTTTTCCCTCTTTTTTTGTTTCATGGTGCCTCTCTTGTGTCCACCGTCGTGAACTTTTTCAAGAAAATATACTTAAGTCACTAAATGCACTTTTTTTTTTTTCCCATTTTATCTGTGCCAGGGATCTTCTTGTTGTCGGCGGGATGGACGGGAGCCTGCACTGCGTCACGATCGCGGAGGGCATCGACGGGCAGGTGTGAAGAATCAGTCACATCAAACCAATTAATTGAGAGGTTTTCCTTCACCTTGACTGGCATGTAGCACGATCCCTTCACAACGGGGTTGATCCCTTCATGACGGGGAATGTGTGTCGGTTGTGTTTTGAATTTTTTTTCTTTTTCTTTTACCTCCGCGCGTGTGACATCTTTTCCCGGCAATTTCTTTCTTTCTTTGTCTCTCGTCATTTCTCTATTTTCCTTATTCCTTTCTCTGTTTCCCTTTGTTCGCGTCTTGCACGCTTGTAAAAGACGGCCTCTTTGTGCGAGGAAACCCTGAGGGTCAAGACCGGCTGGAACCCTCTCGCTGTGGGAAGCGGAGACAACGCTAGCGCCGTCGCTGTCACCGGCTTCTGGCGAGAGGAGGTGCGACCGTTTCGTCCACTCACCCCTAACCTTTTCCATGTTGGCAGACGTTTTTTTTTTTTTGTAGGCGCTTGTCTTTCCTCTACTCTTTTGTCAACCCCTCCTCTTTAGGTGTTGTGGAATGATATGCTGAATGTTTATTTCCTTGCTGTTCTTCTTCATCGTACCTCGTTCATTCTTCTTGCGCGTCGTTGGCGCTTGGCTTTCCTCTGCTCTTGGGGCATCCCCTCCCATGTACATCCATCTATATATGTTCGTATGATATTGTTTGTGTAGTTGTGACATGAACGGCTGTGTTTTGGTTTCGGTGCTCTTCTTGTTGTTCGTTCCTCGTTCATTTTTTCTCACTCTTCTCCCATCGTTCTCGCCTCCTCCTCCTCCTCCTCTCCTCTGCGACGTTCCGTTTCGCTGCTACGTTCCGTTTCGCTTGTACGTTTCGCCACGATGTTCCGTTTCGCTGCCAGGAGAAACAAGCCGTGGTCCTTACGCTTCACACGGACTGGTCGTTCCGGGTGTGGGTGACCTCGCGCGCCAGCACCGGCGCCAAGCGGAGAGGGGGGGGCTTGGTGAGCCGGGTGGACGCTCGGCAATTCCTCGGCTCGCCTCACGAGCGCCAGGTACTGCTGTAATAGTCGGGTGCTCTTGTTGGCTGCTGTAGGTTCTCTATCATGGAATACTGCTGTAGTAGTCAGATGCTTGTCGACTGCTGTAGGTTTTTCTATTATAGATTACTGTAATGGTCTGGTCAGGTTCTCTTCTGTTTTTTCATACAGAAGTATGTAGATGCTGAAAAGATTGTCACACCCCGTTTTTTTTGTGTGTGCGGTATGTTGTGGGTTGTCCGTGCGACCGTTTTTCGTTGTTGTGTTGTTCTGCCGGCGTTTCTGGGTGTTGGTTGGGGACGGTAGTAGGGTCGACCGTACTTGTATGGATAAACAACAACTCACATGTTTGGGGTTATATGCCCCCAAAGACGTTCAATCCTTTGGTCGTCAGGCGGTGACGATGGTCGGTCAGATTTCACGACGACATGCATGCCGACATTCTTGGAATCTTGGAAAAAGGCATTCTTTGCTTATCGCCGCCGCCACCACCACCACCAGTAGTAGTAAACTCCAAACAGTAGGGGGCCCGGTTCAGCGACCCCCTGGTTGGCGACATGCCCTTGAAAATATTCAAGAACTTTTAAAATTTTAGTTAGCGACCGCAACACCACGTCGCACTGCCGCACCCCGATGGTATAACTGCTACCTATTATTAGTTAGTAGTTCGTTTGTAGCGACCGACCCTGAATAGCGGCTACACTTCGTCGTGACACTAGGGTCGCTGAACCGAGCCCCCCACTGCAGTTGTAGCTAAAGGCTAAATAGGGTTTAGCGGCGATACTTGGCCCCTCTTGGTCATGCCTTTCGTTTTTTTTTTTTTTCGCAGACGGCTGCGGTGGACGGTTCGAGCTGTTTCCTGTCCCCGGTTGCGGCCGTTGCCAACCCGGAGGAAGAGAACTTCGTCGTCGCGGCTGTCGCGGCCGAAGGAGGTGTGTTGGTGTGTGTGCGTGCGTGTTTTTTTTTATTATTAACATGGACCGCGCTACAGTAGTAGCATGCTGAACAATGAAAATACGCCAGTCTTACACAGCGTGCGTGGTGTGCGACTCTTGTTATTAATCGCATCGACCGCGCTATCCAGCTGACCGATGAAAAGTCGTGAAGTCTCAGTGCGGCTGAAAACAGCAGCCGTTTTAAGGGGCATGATCTGGGGCCCCTGAGGGTGGCTTCAGGGAGGAGTTTGTGTGTGTTTATTGTTAGCATCGAACGAGCTAACCGGCTGCTGACCGATGGAAATACGTCAGTGTCAACCGGGCGTTGTGTTCTGTCTTGGTGTTCGGCATAGACCGTGCTGCCCGGCTGACCAAATGAAAAGACGTAATTTCACCGTTTTTTGGTGTGCAACGTTTGCCTCTCTCCACCACGCCTTCCCCTCTTTTCGACACATCGCTCTTTCCTGTTGCCCGTGGTATCTTCCTTCCTCTCTCTGCCACACCTTGCCCTGTCCCTCCTCTTCATCCCCCCCCCCACATAGTTGGGGAGTGTGAGTTGTACAAGAAGGAAAGAGAGGATCTCGAGGAGGAAATGAGACAGAGAGGGTGTGACATGGACAAGTTTGGTAAATTAGACAACAGCGAAAAAACGATCGCGACAATTGGGGATAGATGGTGGGCACAAGAGGCCCTAGAGGACGGGGATAAGATGTGCAAGAAATTTTTATGGAGTTTGTGGCAGAAACGTAAAGAGCTCCCAAATGTTGGTGGTGTCTCGAGTAGGTGTAGGAACGGTGCTCCGTCTCGAAAGGGACGCGTGGTCAATGGTCAAATGACTACGGCAAGCAACAAATGAGTACGCCCCCCCCCCCCCTCCCCTTATTTTCTTTTCGACCGTGGTAGGCATGACCGTATATCTTTGACGATGTACATATTAATATACAATCAGATCAAAGAGAGACTGCCCGTTCGAGATACAAAATTATGTTGGTTTCCTTGACGACATCCGCCTACACGCGACACACCTCTTAGGAACGACCTATTAGCAGGGAGTCCAGAAAACCCGGTCCAAAAAAAGTAAGCGTAAGAGCTTGACCAATAGGACATGTATTGCAGGTAATAATCCTATGACTAAAACCCCCCAAGTATTTTTCGTCGGTGTTGGGGGTCAATTTACCTACTGTACCCCACAGGGGGAACAAGAAACAAAGCCTGGGGCAAAGCAACAGGTTCTTAACTGTTAACCCTTACGTGATGGCGCCCCATCTGTGTATCACATGTTTCTGATTTCTGTTTTTTTCGTGCTTAGGTCTCCCCGTCCACATCGTGCTCACCATCTCACCCAGAGGTGGAGAGCTGGTGAGGAGATGTGAATTCGAGGCCCCTAGCGAAGCAGGTGGGTGGTTTTTGGCCGCGCGGGTCTGCGGAACGTACCGCCAGGAAAAATCGAGGAAATTTCCCCGGGGGGGCGTACTCTTATGTTTTGTATGCCTTAGTTGTTACTAGCCCACGGGTCCTCGAGAGGGCGGAGCATTGTTCCCACTGGACCGGTCACCGATGGCCAATCGTTCCTTCCTACTTCGCAAAGGTGGCTCAAAAATATGTTTTCCTTACCCAATCTATGCTATCGCTATCACTTCCCGCCATTTTCAACGCACTTCCTATACCCCAGTAAGGCAACATGGGGGGGGGAGGCAAGAAATAGACCAATATCGGGGCGGGGGAAGAAGAACCAGACGGTAGGGTTTTGGGGTGGTATAGGGGTTCCCGTGAATGCCTCCGTGTCCGCTCTTGTTCTGAGAATTGGCGTGGACGATAGTAAAGAAATAGGAAAATTCTGATTTTCCGAGCAGACGTGTGGCGCAGCAGTTGCGTGTCGTCGAAGAAGAGAACTAGCACGCGAGACGCCATGTATTGTCCATGCGTTCATGTCCGATTGCCTCCTCCAAGGCTTGTTGGTATCGAGATAATAGTTCGTTTTTTTTTCTGGCACTGATCAAATGCAGTGTAGGGTGTAAGCCAGAGCTAGGTGTTCATCCAGCTTTAACAATCGATCGCACCAACCTGTCTGTGCGTTCCCCCGCACTGCTGCTACGGTACGTGCGACACCCCCCCCTTTTTTTTGGAGTGCCAAGCTAACCCTTTCGTGGGGTGGGGGGGCTGTGCCATACAGTTGTGGGGTGGTAGTAGTACAACCCGCTCAAAACCACAAGGCCTCCATGAAGGCCACGGCTAGGCGTTTGGTTGCGTAATACAGCAGACAGTGCGTTCAAGGCTCAACACAAGAACACCACACACGAGGACGTTCACTGATGATTGCTTCCTTTTCTTTTCTTCTTGCTTAGCTCACGAAGTGCCTCGCTGTTTGTGTCCGGCTTGGGGGATAAAAACCTACACACGTCGTTGCTGCCCCCAGGCCCGCTGGTGGATGCCCACGTGAACCACAAGGGGATCGTCTGGACTCTGTGGGACCGCCCTCGGGGAGGCGGCGGGGTTTCCAGTGGATGCGGAGGCGTGTCGAGCTACGGGGAGAACGGGACGTTCGACTCCGTTCACCACCAGACGATCGACGAGGTATTTTAAAAACGTTTTTTTTGTTGCGGTTGGAGTCGCTTTTTGTGAGTTGAGTGTTTTCTTTTCGGCACAGGCGTGTTTGCCTTCCCTGCTTTCTCTTGCCGCAGGTGTTTGGGGCTCCTTGGCTCCTTACTAAAAACCGCTAAAAAAGGGTGCCATCATTGTCTTTTTTTTTGTGTGTATGTACAGGTAAGTAGGATGGGATATTGATGGCCAGGTTTGGTGCCGTGACCGGCGGCATCGGGGATGCATGCGACGGATGCGCCTCTGCTTGCGTACGCTTTCCTTCGTGTGCACCACATGTATTTGCGATGGACCATTCTAGACTCACTGGGACATACTCTCGTTGTTTTCACCATCTGTTGGCGTGTTCTTGGCGTACGGCATTAGCACCATACTCCCCCCCCACCCCACACCCCCCTCTACTTTGTCTGTCTGTGTCCCTCTCTGTCTACCGTCCCCCGATGCCTCTCCGTTGTTGTGCAGTGGCTGGGTTCTCAACAAGAGGAGGACGCGGTTCTCGACGAGCTGTTCAGGAGAAAGGGGGGGTGGCCCGGGTTGGTGGCCCTGCGGTGCCCCCCCCAGGGAGGAGGGGGGAGGGGCACGAGAGCAGTGGCGCTCGACTCGGTGGAGTTGATGGAGAGCTTCTACCTGAGAAGGATGTTTACGGCGGGGAGGTTTGGGCGGCGCGTCCTGGCGTCTGCGATTCGGGAGGCGGTGGGTGTTTTTTTCACGTGCCTTTCCAAAAAAAACTGTTGTTTTTTCACGCGAGAGTCTGTAACTCTCCGGGTTCATGTGCGCCTTACGGAAGGGTAGTGGTTGGCGTTAATAATGTTGGGCCATGTTGAGCCATGTTTCAGTGTCGTGTGTTATCGTGTGTTGAGTCCATCAGTGTCGGGGTTCACCCAACAGAAGTGCGGTAAAGCTACAAAAGTCGGACATGACGGGATGACGGGTCGACGCCCGTGAGGCGGTCGAAGTCCTTCGCAACCCCTCCCCCCCCCCCCCCCCCCCCCCCGACCCCTTTTT